AATTTTTAGAAATAAATTAACAGTGGAATGATAGAATATTAAATAATATAACTTGTAATTTTTATCAATATCTCAATAGAAATATGGGAAGAGATTAATTTGAGTCATCATACTATTTATATGACATAACAATTTCACATGGATGAAAATCCATATAATATTTATTTTTTACTATCTAGACAGCTTTGAACTGAATTGAGTTTTATACTATGTAATTTTTGCAAAGAAAAATTTGCATAGAAGTGGTTCATATTCATAAAAAATATGAAAGGGGACTGATAAATTATGCAAGAACGATAAAATTATTATGCGTGAATTATAAAATATGTTACTTTTGGCTGACAATTTTTATCCTAGAGTTACATTTTATGTTTCTTTGAGGGGGCTTAAAAAAAGATATATTTAATAATTCAATAAAATATGAGTATGTGTTATCATAAATGAACTATATTCTACATATAAATATAAATAATTATTATTGAAAACACAAAATAAAAAAATATGGCAACTAAAATGCAGTCCTCCTAGTTTTTTTAATTTAAATATGAATAATAATAATAATAATAATAATAATTATTATTATTATTAATAATCCACTATTTTATGATAAAACATGAGTATGTTATGATAAATGAATTATATTCTACATATAAATATAAATAATTATTATTGAAAACAGAAAATAAAAAGATTTTGACAACTAAAATGTGGTCCTCCTTAGTTTGTCTAATTTAAATATGAATATGAATATAAATAATAATAATAATAATTATTAATCCATTATTTTACTATTTAATTGCTAAAAATTAATATAAATAATTGGGTATAAAGATGATTCATCCAACACAAAATTGATTTATTTTTGAATATTTAAAATCATGAGGGTAGTTTTGGTAAGTAAATCATTTTCTTTTCCCTTTCATGCTATCCAAACAAATAAAATAATATTTTCCCACAACTTTCTTGAAAATTTTTCTTGCTAACCAAATGCACGTAGGAAACTTGATTTTCCTTTCTTTCACTTCACTTTCTTTCACTTTCACTTTCCATTATAAATTTCTGTCTAACTAAACAGACCCCTAAGAAAATTTGGAGGAGTGGATAAGAAGGTTTGGAGCAAATCCAAAAGATGATGGGTCCTTTACGGTAAAGTCAGATTATCAAATTGCTTTGAAGGTGTAATTATCAAGAAATGAGGGAGTTATGTACTAAATTGAAACATCAGAGCAATAAATTAAGTGTTACATTTTCTTCATGTGTGGTGCTAAATTGCTAATAGGCCAAATTCAGCAGACAAAAAAAGATTTTTTTTGAACTTAATTGTTTATCAAAGCTGCAGAGGACAGATTATCAAAGCTGCACTATATTTCTTCCCTTTCACAACAAACATCAAGCAATTAAATGGGCTCTTCAATGGGAATATACAGGCAACTGACCATTGAAGATGAGTATAAGGTGCTTATTACTTCTCCAAAAATTGCAAATTTAGTGGCAGCAATCAAAGAGGACATCAATTGAGTCAACTGGATGCAGTGAGGAGTGTGTATGCCCTTTTTTTTTTTTTTTTTTTTTTTTTTTTTTTTTTTGTGGTTTTTACACGATATTCCAAAACATAACAAAACTGTATTAGTTTATCATAAAGCATCCATGGATTAAAATCCGTAAATTATCTATTTTATAAAATTATGCTTTCTTCCTTTGGTTTAAAAAAAAAAAAAAAAAAAAGAAAAAAAAAAGCACGAATATAAACAAAAATATAAGAGAAAGGGGACATACCCCTATGTGCCGGATCAGCAAAACAACTATAATACCAAATGGAAGGCAATCATACAAGCGCACGTAGAGGATAAGCGAGAACAAAAAAAAAAAAAAAAAAAAATATATATATATATATATAATGCGTTTGCAGGTCAAAATTTTTTTTTCTTTTCCTGAATGTGGAAATTTTTTATAAAATAAGAACAATGGTACATAGGGAAGTGATAAAAAACAAAAGGATCACCAAAAGGAAAACTTAAAGAGAGTAGGTCAGGGCATACCCCAAAACTACATCAAGAAAAGCAACTTGACATCAAGAACTAGAATCAAAATAAGGCCATAGCAATCTTATGTGGAGGCAATGCATCCCCATCATGACATCTATTGTTTATTTCAGCCCAGATTCTCCAGAGAATGGCAGTGAATCAGCACCTAAGTCAGACCTGTTTTGCAAATGGGCAGCACCAAAACAGATGGTCTCCGGTATCAGAACCTCCAAAACAGTTGTGACATATGGAAGAACCAATGGGAACTCTCTTTCTGACGTTAAAGTAAGAGGGGGATGAATTCTGCATGATGAGATAACCATGGACTAGGCACACCACGGGCTCTGCAAACATGCTTCCACTTAATTGTGTCTTCAGAAGTGGAATTGGCGTGATGTTGAAGGTATACACCAATTTCAGCATGCCAATGTTTGCAGGTCAATTAACTACTTATAATCTGTTAATTTCCGTCTTTTTTTGTTTCTTTAATTCCCAATCATATCATGCAATATTCCAGGTCAATTAACATGGTAATGTAAATGCTATATATAACCATTTCAAAATCACAAACACAAAGGTTCTAAGGATTGGGACAGAAGATCATATTTTGCCTAAAACTGTTCATTAAATTCAGCTCAATAATGACTACATGAATGGAAATTCAAGTACTTTTTCAATTCATAAATTCTATACATAAGGACTCAAAAGAAGATAAAAAAAAAAAACAATTAATCAAACCTAATTTATATCCTCATCCTCATTTTTCTCACTACCATTGTGAAACCCAAGCCACATCTTTGATTTGCAAAACCTCATCAGGAAGTACCAACCAATCCCAACCACAGTCAACAAAGCACTCACCAAATATACATTCGTAGTAGCAACAATCATAACATACACCAAAAACCCAGATGGAACCAAGCACATGATCACCAAGCCCGGCATCGGCAGGGGAACTTTGTAAGGCCTCTTTGTCCTTGCCATCTTCCTCCTCAACCAAAGGAACGACGCGAATTCCAGCAACATTCCCAAACTGTACAAGAAATTCACCGAAGATATAATGTCCGCGAAATTCATGTATGAAACTGCTAATGCAACCAATGTTGACATCAAAATCCCAACCCAAGGTGTGTTGAACCATGTGGACCTTGCCCCAAAAGACCGAGGCACAACTCCTAAATCCGCCATACCAAGAATCTGATAAGCACAACTGCTCAATTGAGCTTCAAAAAGTCCAATCCCGGATAGAACTGCACCAATCTCAACACAATACTTCAACCATTTTCCCGCGATAATTTCTGCCACATCTGCAAAATACCCATCAACCCAATTCTCTTGATTTAGAGGAATAGCCCCAGTGGCAGCCAAGAGAGGGATCAAGTAAGCCAAACATGTCAAAATCCCAGCAGAGAATAGTGCCTTAGGGAATGTCTTTTGGGGTTGATCAACTTCACCAGCTAAAGTACTAGCATTGTCCCAGAAATTGAGATTCCAGAAAAGGGTATTAAAAAACAATGTCCAATCTTTTTTCACACCCTTCTGACCTAAACTGATCCACCTACTGGGATCAATTTTGGGGATTGAAATCAATGTCAAGACAATAAAAGGACAAAGTGAAACAATGCCTAAACCCACAGCAGTGTAGCCAACTATAGTCAAACCTGTATAGTTCAGAAATGATAGAAACAATGTAGAAAACAGAATTGCAAGGTAACGAGGTACACCTGAAGAGAAAATTGGGAATACCAATTTGAGATAATCAATGCAGAGAACTGGGTATGAGGCCAAATTGATGACACCACTGAGGAGTTTCCAAGAGCCCATGAGGGAGCCCCAGAAGGGACCAAAGGCCTTGTGAGCCCAGATGACGAAGCCGCCGTTGCCGGGGAAAGTGGTGGCCAGCTCCGCCGTGACAAGGGCTTCCGGGATGCTCCAGATGAAGGGGAAGATGAGGAATCCGAGGAGGGCGAGGAGGGGGCCGGCGGCCCCCACAGAGGCCTCTTCGCCGTAAGGGCCACCGGCCACCTCGAAGTAGATGAGGAAGACTAGTGGGAGTAGAGCTAGTTTGTTGGAGTTTTTGGTGGTTGTGGGTTCTTCTCGATTCTCTTGTTGAAGGAGAGATGGGTGGGATTGGGGAGAGGATTGAGAAGCTCCCATTGTTGATTGTCGTTTTTGTTCCAAAGATGTGGTTGTGGGTGCGGTGACTGGTAGTTGGATTTGAGGGTTCATTATTGGTTGATACGGAATATAGTATATACCTAGCTTTTTTCAAAAGAAAGTTACCACACTGGTAGTAACTTTTTCTTCTCAGCCACTGTGAAAATTACTGGAAACAATGGAGATTTATAGTATCAAATGATATACCAGTTGAGTCTTTGAAGACGAAACTATCAAGATATATTTGGATGACGTGAATTTAGGAAAGATTAGAGAGAGAGAGAGCTGCCCTGGTTGCCTGGTTGGGATGGTAAAAACTGGTTTATTATCTCTGATATTTTGGCTTTTTGGATGAAATCTACTACAATTTAGGATCCAACCTTATCATCATTCAACGTCTTTCAAATTTTCAATGCCATTGACAGCATGGTAATTAAGTAAAAGATGGAATGGAATGACCGGTAATACTTCCAGTGAGTGAAAGAACTATAATCTTACTGGGTCATTATTATTATTATTTTTAATAATTATTGTAATTTCTTGATAGATTCAAATAGATTCAACGACTTTATCTTATCTGGACAAAAATTACAAAATAAAAAATAAAAAATAAAAAGAACAAAATCTTTATTTTGTCCCTGATCATTTTATACACATTTTTCCCTAATTTGAAATCTACCATTTTTTAACAATTATTTGATTTTTAATTCTAAAAAAATAGGAAATTATTCTTAGGAAATTAAATTGAATAGATAATTTAAGGACCTTTGGGCTAATATTGGGCCGGCCCATCTCTATTTCAATAGATTTATATTGTGATAGAGAAATATCCATTTATCAAAAGAATTGGAAACTTACAAGCTCTTCCACCTCGGACCTCTCTGCCCAGGTGAGTCAAATGAATCTCTCTCTCAAACACACACACACACACACACACACACACAATATATGTGTATATTATGAGTTGATTAATTGGATAGCTAAGCGTATTTTTGAACTCAACAATTTGCAGGAATGGAATCACTTTTTGTGAGGCATTTGATTTGTGCAACACACCATACCTTTCCAAGTAGATGCCCATTAATCCCTACCCGTTCAAGAAGGATCCACACTCAAATTCGGCATTTTCGCTTCCATCTTTACTCGAAACAATCTGATTTCCTGGGTATGGAAGCTATTTCTGCATGATTAACTTTACTATTGTCCCATTCTCCATATATATGAAAGAAAACATTTGCTTTGAGCTTGTTCACTGAGAACCATATGTATTGAAATTGAAACTTTTTTGCGTCTTTCCAGAATTTATGCAATTTCTAGGAAAATATGTTGCTTTAGGACCTCTAGACATATTTTTTGAAAAATATTTTTATTTTTCTTTTATGTTTTGGTGTTTGGTTGTCATAAAATATTTAGGAAGAAAAAAAATAATAATAATAAAACGTAACAATAATAACTTATCCTCAATTTTGGACAAGTTATTTTATACGCCCCACTTGATGAACTTGACCTAGACTTTTGTCGAACACCGAAAAATAAAATAAAAAAATATTTTACGTGAAATAAACGGAGCCTAGGTTTGGCAGATTGTGGATACTTATACTCTTTTGATGTCAACTTTGATGCGAAGAGAAAAATATGACCAAATCAATTGTAGAAGATAACTGCTTTGTACCAAGTTGCTTTCATTTGTTATCGTTAATTTCTTGGTAAGTAACAAATTTTTAGTGTATTAGTGGAAGCTGATAATGGAATTAAAATGGGTTTTGTTCAGACTTTAATGTTTGTGAAAGCTAGGGACTATTTGAGGACGTTAGGAAGATTAACATTATAGCATTGAGAATTTAGATGGATTATGTTTTTATAATGGCATTGGCAAGCACACTCTTAGTTTGCTTTTGGTTGCTTAGTGGCATGTATTTTTACGGCCAACATATGTGACATTTTTACGAAGATCTCTTATTTAGTTTGGGGAAGAATCTGCCAAATCGGAGTCAGTCGATGGTCTCTTTTAGTTGTTTTAATTAAAAAAAAAAAAAAAAACAAAGGAGCTTGACTATTGCAAATATATTATTTCCATAAACCCCCTCCCCCCCACCCATGGGAGCATGGGTGGATAAAGTAAAAATGTTACTTTACTATATCATACTTTGTATTTGCTTGTTCCTCAAAAGTCAAAACTTGCAATTCTAGTGAAAAGAATGTTAGACAATTCTCTATGGGCTTATTTATTCATTTTTTCCCCCATTCAAGGAGTCTTGTTTCGTGTCACGATTCTAAGTTTCAATGTTTCATAAAGCAATCCTTTTCTTGGATTTCTGATCTCGTGAAAGGCGCACATAATCGCTTAGCTTTTGCACTCCCTTGGATGCCTAAATCACGTCTCTGAAATTGTGTTTTCTTTTTATGATAAAAGTATATTGTAGACTATTTACATTCTTGTTGTCTAGTTATTTATGTTTTAGAAATATCAATATGAGTAATTTCTGATACGATATGAAGTACAACAATTATATATCTCTATCTTTTCTCAGAATTTTGCACTCTAGTCTTAAAGATTCTCTAAATTAGCTTAAAATGACTTGTCTGATCTGCAACGAGTGTAAGATGCAGTTTGCATGAGTTTGCTAAACAACTGACTTCATAATTTTCTTGGATATCATTGTTTTGGTGGCTCCAATAGAAAAAAGCATGTTAGACAATTCTCTATGGACTTATTTATTCATTTTTTTCCTATTCGAAGAGTCTTGTTTCTGATCTCGTTAAAGGTGCACATAATAGCTGAGCTTTTACTCTCCCTTGGCTATTTCTGATACAATTTGAATTACAAAAATTACACATCTTTAGCTTTTCACAGAATTTTGCACTCTAGTCTTAAGGTTTCTCTAACTTAGCTTAAAATGACGTGTCTGATCTGCACCGAGTGTAAGATGCAGTTTGTATGAAGATTGCTAAACAATTGAAAACCAGATACTGCCTGCATTTTAGAATTCAACAAGGTCTTTGTCAAGGTTGCAAAGAAGTTCTTCATCAAATAAAGTTCCCAAGCTAAACAAGGGAGGGAAAATAATACTGATAATAACTTAACTTTCTACTTTATAAACACAATGAGGTTGCTCTCAGGCAATGACCCCTAATACTAATTTATATTCCCAAGGAATAATTAGAAAACATTAATATTGATTAAAAGTGGCAATGAACCAAAAAATGAGACAGAGGACTAATTATATGTGCAGAATACAAGCACCACTGGATAAGTATGTTCTGATTACTATGTGGTTCTTAGTTTGGGTTTGTTAAACGTGTTAATTAATCCACAGCTTTCAACAAGCCTACTCTTTCATCTATTTATCCTTCAAGCCATTCAAACTTTTTATGGGTTACATGGGGCTTCTTCCATTTTTGAGATTTGTAAAAGAGATATAGGTGTAGAGCTATATCAAAATGAACAACTTCTGCAGTAGTGAAGTCAAAGTTCTGCAGCATTTTTATGAGCAGCAAATAATAGTTACAAATGCTTTTAAAGCAAGCTATCAGATTAAATTTGAAATCTTAATCTGATCAATTGAAAGTCATAGGTTTCAACTGTTTACTGTTCTGGACCTTCAAATACTATGGTTACATGGAAATAAAATGGGCAGTGTTTAGATCATCTTGTTGATCTGAGCACCCCATCCAACTTAATGTAATAAACTAGTATAGACACACACCAAATTGTTTCTTTTACAACTGTACTAGCATTAAATTCTGCCAACTCTCTTAATATGTCATTCATTTTCAGTAATATACCTAGTTTCTGATTCAGATTTTCAGGGCTATGCAAAGCCTTCACGTCTTTTGCCTGCCACCGAAGTGGACGTTTACACGGATTCCATACTGGAGAAGGTGGTTACATCTTCCAAATTGGGCGCTTCTGAGTCTTTGTTCAAAGTCAAGCTATGCACAAGTAGCATGTTTGGATCAGGTCTGAGTGACTTAAACGCTGGAATACTGCTTTGTTTGATAGATGAAAACGGAGACTCAATCTTACACAGGATATCAGCCAGTTCTATGAGAGATCATACTATGCAATTAGAGGAGGAGGTTGTTTCTGATGTACTCCATTTCCAAAGAGCTTCCGTTGATGAGTTCACCTTTGAGGGACCTAAACTGGGAAAAATTGAAGCTCTTTGGATCAGTCTTGAATCAGGTTAGTCTCTTCTGGTAATAAGGACTTCCAATCAGAAGCAGACACAATGCTTAGAATCTTCTCCTGGCCCAACTCAGTTTGTACAGAACATACCATGACAATTGAACACACGCAGATAGAGCCCAGTTACATTGATTAGATTCCGTTTGATTTCTCTACATAATAAGTTAACTTGAATACCCCAGATGGAGGCATATCTCCGGGGTTTATAAATCTTTAACAATAGTATAAATTGGATGGTTCCAGGATTTTGGACAATATGAACATATAAACAACCAGCTTCTTCTATTTCAATTATTATTTCAGCATGTATAAGCCATGTCCAAAGCTATAATAAGATAAAAAAATTAACGTGACACCTATTTGATGGAATGGTTGAGACATTATTTATGGTTACAATTATAGCTACCATGCACAGAGTTTGAATATTGGTTTATTTTTTAAATTTTTTTTATTTTTTATACGTTAATCAAATCAACTTATCCTCTTAATTCATATTTCCAATGTCAGGTCAATGGAGATTTGGGGGTGCGAGCTTAACTGTTGTTATTTGTGAGTTTCAACCTCCTACAGAAGCAAATGACAGAAAAGAACTTCGGCATATTGCTTTACAGTACGACTTTGAAGACGATGATATTTTGCTCGGCGAGGGAAGTGACATTTCAATGGTGGAACTTAGACCCAGCCTAGTTACTGAGTTTTCTGGAGAAAACTTCTCCTTGTTAAGCAAAAACCTCCTGCAATCATCCTCACCTGCCAGTTACGGTATATCAAATGAAGAAAGCATGAGGGAGTATGAAAATTTGAAGTCATCCTTGTTATTTTATGATGCTATGCTTATCCTTGCTGGTTCATCAATTGTATCCTTCTCAGCTGGGGAAAATGCTGCATTTGCATTCTTAACTGGTGGGGTCGTTGGCTTCTTATATCTATTATTGTTGCAAAGGTCTGTCGATGGATTACCGGCACCTACATCAACTACAATGAACAGAACGGTCAATTTCAATGAAATTTTTGGAAGATTAAAGAGTCCGCCAAGCCTATTATTGGCATTATTGTTTGCCGCTATTGCAGTGAAATATGGGTCGGGAGATGGTGCCATTCTGTTGACGCCAAAAGAATTCGTGTCTGGAATGGCGGGGTTTCTTGCATGTAAAGTGGCTGTGGTGTTGGCAGCACTCAAACCCATGCCATGGAGTCTTAAGGAGAACAAATGATAGGATATTCTTCCATTTTTCTACTTCAAGAGAGACAGACAGCTGGATTTGATCGAGTACAGAAAATACCCAAAGGATGTGCTCATCCAAGAAAACATCCGTACTCAGTACATGTCTCATATTTGTAAATAACAAGTTTTAGCATAAAATATTTCGTGCAAGTCCTATACTTGTAAATAAGAGGAAACGATGACAAGTTTTAGTATAAAGTATTTCGTGACAAGTCTTGCTTGTAAATAATTTCGGAGGAAACGATGACAAGTTTTAGCACATAAGTACTCCGTGACAAGTCTTAGTATAAAGTTTAGGATAGAGTACAGAGAGAGGTTCATGCATAATTTGAATATTCTTGTATCTGTTGTGTATACAATTGCTTTTAAAGCAACCTATCAGATTCAATTTGAATCATAATCTGATCAATTCAAATTCTATGGTTACATGGAAATAGAATGGGCATTGTTTAGATCATCCTGTTGATCTAGCCGCCCCACCCGACGTAAATATGTCATCCATCTCAGAAATATACCTAGTTTCTGATTCAGATTTTCAGAGCTATGCAAAGCCTGTCACCGAAGTGGACGACTGCACGGATTCCATACTAGAGAAGGTGGTTACATCTTCCAAATTCGGGGGTTCTGTGTCTTTGTTCAAAGTCAAGCTGTGCACCAGTAGCACCTACGGATCAGGTTTGAGCAACTTAAACGCTGGAATTCTGCTTTGTTTGATAGATGAAAATGGAGACTCGATCTTTCACAGGATATCAGCTAGTTCTATGAGAGACCATACTAAGCAACCGGAGGAGAAGGTTGTTTCTGATGTACTCCATTTCCAACGAGCTTCCGTTGATGAGTTCACCTTCGAGGGACCTAAACTAGGAAAAATTGAAGCTCTTTGGATCAGTGTTGAATCAGGTTAGTCTCTTCATTAACTGGTGTTGGCCTTTGCGTTAACCAAGTTTAACTTTATATATTTCTTAATTCATATTTCCAATGTCAGGTCAATGGAGATTGGGGGGTGTGAGCTTAACTGTTATTTGTCAGTGTCAACCTCTTCCCACAGAAGCAAATGACGGAAAAGAAATTCAGTATATTGCTTTGCAGTACGACTTTGAAGATGACGACATTCCGCTCGGTGATCAGGGAAGTGGCATGTCTACGGTGGAGCTTAGACCTAGTCTAGTTACGGAGTTTGCTGGAGAAAACTTTACCTCGTTAAGCAAAAAACTCCTGCAATCAACGTCATCTGCAAGGCACGCTACATCAAATGAAGAGTGTGCAAATTTGAAGTCGTCCTTGCTATTTTACGACGCCATGCTCGTCCTTGCTGGTTCGTCGATTGCATCCTTCTCATTCGGGGAAAATGCTGCATTTGCTTTCTTAACTGGCGGCGTTGTTGGCTTCTTATATCAGTTATTGTTGCAAAGGTCCGTTGATGGATTACGGGCTCCTGCGTCGACTACAATGAACAGGACGGGGAATTTCATTGAAGTTTTTGGAAGATTAAAGAGTGGGTCAATCCTAGTGCTACTATTGCCATTATTGTTTGCCACAATTGCAGTGAAATATGGTGCCGTCGAAGAAGTCGTGTCTGGGATGGTGGGGTTTCTTACATGTAAAGTGGCTGCGGTGTTGGCGGCAATCAAACCTATGCCATTCAGTCTTTAATTAGGAGAACAAGTGTTAGGATATTCTTGAAAAATGAAGATTTAATAAAAAAAATTATATTCTATTCCAATCCTGACAATGAATAAATGTTGATACAAAAATAAGATATTTATTAGTAAAAAATAGTCCAATTAGATTTAAAGATTTCAAATTTTCAAAAGATGAAAACTTTTAGGCATTTTTTCGTTGCACATTATATTCAAAAATTACCAAATGGAGATGACTCGTCTATTAAATTTTTTTTTTTTTTTTTTTTTTTTTGATAAATTGCACTTACACCCCCTAAGGTTTGGGTTTACAAAGCATTAGTTTACATTGACACCTCTTGAGTTTTCAAACGTTTACATAAACACCCCCTTTATCTGAAAAAATGACCATTTTAACCTTTGACTTGGTCAACAAATACATAAAAGGATAAATTACTAATATAACCTTATAAACTAAATTTTAAAGGACCAAAATACCCTTCATTTTACATTCTCTCTCCAACCCACCATACCCTCTATCTCTTACATACACTACCCGATACCCACAACATATACCCTCTATGTCTCTATCCTTCCTATACCCTCTCTGTCCTGACACCACCCACCACCATCACCGCCCCTTTCATAAGAAACCCACCATACCACCGTCGTCGCCACCAACAATCAGAAGCAACCCCCACCACTATCGTCGATCAAGCGACGAGATCAAAGGCAAAAGCCACCACCGCTCACGAATCAAAAAAACCCACCACTGCCGTCACCACCAACAATTAGAACCACCACCACTGCTCGCGAATTAAAGGCATGATTGACGATTGTAGTGGCAACAAAGATTTGCTCGGTGATGCCAACAGTTTCGACAATTGCAGCGGCGAACACAGATCTTCTCTTCGCCGCCGGTAATTTCGCGTGGGTAGGGTTAAGATCGGGCTCTGTGGTCCAAGAACTTGCTCTGGTAGTGTATGGGTGTGTGGGTATGGCGGTGGTTGTGGTGGGGTGTGTGGGTTTGACCCAGATGCGCTGTGTGTGGTGGCGGGTGTTATGGTTGTGGTGTGCGATGGTTGTGGCGGTGGTTGTGTTGTGCTGGTTGTGGCAGTGTGTGGTGGTTGTGGCGGTGGCTGTGTTGTGTTTGATGTGGCGGTGTGCGATGATTGCAACGGTGTGCGTGGGTTGCAGTGGCGTATATATGGGTGTGGCGGTAGGGGGTGAGAGGGGAATACAAAATATTGATTAGGGTTATTTTTGTCAATTAACAAGTTCAGGGGTAAAAATGACTTTTGAAACCTCAGGGGGTGTGAACTAGTATGTTGACCCTCCATTGATTGGCATTAACCCAAACTTCAGGGGGTGTGAGTGCAATTGGCATTAACCCAAACCTCAGGGGGTGTGAGTGCAATTTACCCTTTTTGTTTTTAGTTAGCACTCTCACACACAATGAGGTAAGGAACTGATACCGCTAAACCAGTAACCCATTCAAAAGATTTTGATAGAATACTTTGTTTTTGTTGCAAGTTGTTTAACTCAAAGTATAACACAAGTCAATTAGCTAATGATAGAATTAAGGATTAGAAAAATTGTAGTGCTAAGCTTAAAAATCAAGAAACAATTAATGAGCATACTACTAACATGAACTCTTGGGTAAATTTAGAAGCAAGGTTGTTAAAGAATAAGGCAATTGATAAAAATTTCCAAAATCAAGAAAAGAAAAAATCATTAGAAAAAAGTTTTACAAAGAATTATTCGTAAAAAAATCTTGCCAAAAATAATTTGGCATTTCGTAAAAAAATGAGAAATGCCTTTAAAGGAAATGATGTGTATATATATATATATATGTTCATTCCTATGTCTTCAATATCACACACAAGTTTTAGTATAAAGTATCACGTGACAGATAAGACATTTCTAGGCATATTGAAGTAAAAGTGAGCTAAAATTGCGTCTGCCGGGAGTCGAACCGGGTCTATTGCTTGGAAGGCAATTATCCTAGCCGTTGGACTACAAACGCTGGATTGTGACATGTGACTTTTTTTTTTTTTTTTTAACACCAGGAACTCCCTTAAGCAGGGCCCTTCGGGACCTATCCTAGGCTACAAACCTGGGGTGCAGAGTCTCGCCCCAAGGATACGTATTATTCATAACTACGTATTATTCATTTGGTTTTTCCTTTATTAACCCTGTATTTTTCGTCCTTTCTCTACCGCTTCAGCTTATGAGGCGGAAGTGTTGGTCTGTCAGCGTGCGATTCTTTCTACTGTAGATTTGCATTTCTCTTACTTATGGTTTGAATCGGATGCTAAAGTTGTGGTGGAAGGAGTGTTATATGCAGTGTCTTGCCCGTCGGATATTGCTTCTATCTGTTTTGATATTGCTCGGGACTTGCGACAGTTTGCATCGGCTAAGTTGACTCATGTGCGACGTCAGGGTAATTGGGTGGCTCATGCTTTGGCTGCTTTTTCTCAGTCTGGGCTTATGTCGGATCAGTAGTTGTCTTCTGTTCCTCCTTCTGTAATCCCTTTTTGTGGTGGCAGATGGAGGGTCTTAGTGGGTTTTTGTTGTTTGGTTCCTTCTGTTGTGGTTGTATTTGCCTTGGACCAAACCCAAAAAAAAAAAAAAAAAAAAAAAAAAAAAAAAAAAAAAAAAAACTTCTGATATACTGTATTTGTGTAGCGGATTATTTTAATCTTCTGATATACTATTCATTAGATAGAGTTGATAAGTTTAAGTGTGACCTTCTACCATACAAATAGGTTAGAAAATTCAACTTAGGAATCATTTTTCATATATGACAGATACAAAATAATTCCAAAATCAAATGCGTGGAAAGAATTTTTTTGGGTGAAATTACAATCATTTTTATTTTGAAATATATTGACAATGAAAATGATTAGTACTTGGGTCCAACTACGTGTCTCAATAGATTTACGTAGTAAAATAAGCATCCAAAAGCAAAAATTAAGATTTAAAACATATGTCAAAAGCAAAAGTTAAGCAATTTCTAATTTAATTTTATCAATTGTCATAATTTTATTGGCCATATTAGCAAGTTGGATGAAACCTGGATTGGACCAAATTATTGTTCTAGAATCATATACAAACTTTATTTCTTTTCATTGAAACTCTTTATGGGAAAGGGAAAAACTACATGTAACTAAATTTATGAGTCTTAAATAAATATTTTTTAAAAGTTTAATTTTTATTTTGATTGAATTAAGCAAAATACTACCTAACTACAAATGCATCAAAATTTATTATTAAAGTTCAAAAATTTTCAATTAGCATCTATGTTTAAACGTTTTTCTATATCCGTTTCTAAGCCTCTATTTGTGGTTCATTCTATTAAAAATTTTCATTCTATGCTATTGGATTACACTCTTGCTTGTTTACGCAACAATGAGGTTTGTACTTTCATTACTTTTATTTGATCTGCTCACAACTTTTTATTATGGCCATCAGAAGCAATGTTCCGTAATAATATATATATATATATATATATATATATATATATATATATATACACATTTTATATTTAAAAAAAACCTCCGATTGCCAGAAGAAATCACGAGCTTCAACAATAAGAAGTGAGAAAGGTACACTAAAATGGGTGCATTCAAGCAAGTATTTCTAAGCATGAAATTAAAAAGAAAATGATTATATATATTGAACTTACTCATATAATTTCAAATGCTAAAAAAAAAAAAAAAGTTGTATTTAATTATATCTATTTTTAGTAAAGAAATAGGAAAAGAATGAATTATTAAATTTAATAATATAATTTTTTAATATTTATTTTTATTTTTTATATTTAAAATATGAATTTGTATTTAATTATATCCATTTTTAGTAAAAAAAATAGTAAAATAATGAACTATTAAATTTAATAATATAATTATTTAATATTTATTTTTGTTATTTATATTTAAAATAAAACTTCATAATATTTTTTTAGATTCAACTAATTATTAATTTAAGAGAAGCAAACAAAATAGTATTCTATCAAACAAACGAAAGAGATAGAGAAAGAGATAAGAGTACCTGGGTGGTGACCATAACAAAAAAGCAGGCAGGAAAGGTGAGCTTCCTCTTATACAAGAGTTTTTTTTTTTTTTCTACAAACAGAAGAAAAAACTAGCAGAGAATAGGACAGTAATCCAAACCCACAAACTTAAGCACCTCCTCTGGAAGTCAAGAGATGACAGAATTAGCACGCAAGCAAGATGAGGAGAGTGATGCAAGGGCATGGGCTGCTCGATTACCTTGCCGCCGTACATGAGAAACCTTAACCCACAAGAAGAGGTCCAAATCAGTGCGAATATCATAGATACATGGAACGATGACAGAAGGGCACGAAGAACACACTTGCAGAGCTTCCACAAGATTGTTAGCATCACATTCAAACCATACTTTCTGAAAATCAAAAACACGAGCACACATGACAGCAAGTCTAAAAACGAATGCTTCAGTCACCAATGGAGATGAAGCCGAAAATTGCTTAAAAACTACTTCCTTAAGAACCAAGCCTTCTGAATCTCTGAAAATAACTCCCCCACCCCCGAGGCCGGCTAATGGGTTGGTGTTGAGTTCATTGCATGCATGTATTTTATGTGTTATTGCAATGAGGTGTAGCCTTATGAGCCGAGATTGCAATAGGAGGTGTATGTGAGTGGACTATGAGTTTTGTAGTAATGGGCTAGCATTAGGACTGAGTTATGTATGGCACGGGTGAGTGACCATTTTGTGAGTAGATGAGTCACGTCTTGTAGAAAATATTGGTTTCGTCAAGGATTCGCGCAATAGGTTAGACTTATTGTGATTCGAGAACATCGTGAGTATTGATTCCTTTGGCATACAAGCGAGGTGTTAGAGTGGAGTTATGAGTTTGTGAGTCTCTTGCCTTGAGGAACTTTTGATTTGATTATTATAGGGATTAAGTCCTGGTGATTTTGTGACTTGGATTATACAGACTTGAGTGAGTATTTGAGGATTTAGGTCTTAAACATGTTGGTGATGATGTGATGATGTCATTGTTGTTTTAGTATGGGATTGGCTAAAATGGACCGGCGGGACATTTATGGACCATACCCTAGCTCGAAACAAAATGT